GGCATTATGTTAAACAAAGAATTAAATTGGTTTGGCCTAACTAACAAATCAAATTTGATAAAACTTTTTTTTTTAATTTCTATAGATTCATAAAAAAATTTTTATCGAATTAATCAGGCGGTTACTGAAGATATCTTTGCTCAAAGTTAAAAAAAAATCAAATCATTATCAAAATGTCAAATTCTTTTAAAATTTTGAGCGAAGATATCTTGACAACCATCAAACCAATTCATTAAAACTTTTGTGTTTGAATCTTATAGGTTTTATGGAATTTGAATAAAAAAATTTTAGTCAAATTGGTTGTTGAGATATCTTTGCTCAAAGTTAAAGAAAATCAAAATGCTTTTCAAAATAGTGCTATGTCAAATTTTTTTCTAATTTGAGCAAAGATATCTTGACAACTACTTGACTAAATTCGAATTCTATAAATCAGAAAATTCAAATAAAAAAAACTATAACTGCTACAACAAAATTGGACAGGCAAATTCTTGATTTTGATTGGCTAAGTGCAATGATTAAAAATTAGGCTAAAATATTCATAATTTTAGTAATAAAATCATAGCAGCCTATTAAGTGAAAATTGTTCCTGGACCAATTTTATCAGAATATGAATTTATTTTTTAAAATTTTTATTTTTGTAATGAAAAGATAAAAACGTTAATTCTGGTTGGAAATTAGTAAACAATTTTGTAATATACTCATATTGCAATTAAACTTGTTTGTTTATATCTTTTCTGTTATAATAAATATCAAACTATTAACTATACTCAATTTTCTTTTAATCATAATTTTAAACCTATTTGACTTAGTTTACATTTTAGATTATTTACTATAATTTCAACTCTATATCACTAGAAATCAAATATGATTCTAAATATAATATTTATATTATTTTCAATATTATTCCACAATATTTTCTTTAAACATTTCATATTCCTTCTTTCAAAACATATTGTGCACCTCTTGATATCTGGTTTACTAAATTCTATAATATTTATAAAAAACAATTTTTATATATCAATTAGCAAAAAGTTTATAATTACATTAAATTTCAAACTATTACTTTTTTTCTAATAATCTTAAACAACTACTTTCAAATTTTTACCAATTTATATCAATTAATTCACATCACAACAAGAATGTACTAATATATCAATTAAAGCTGCTTTATACTATTTATATACTTGTATAAATTCTGTTTGTAATATTCTTTTTAACAATATTGTATATACTTTTTATAATTTAACTTCTTTCTTTTCTAAACAATTCTTTATACAATTTCCAACCACCTTAAATATACCAACCCAAATCTTGATTTTTCTAGCTTTAAAACAAATCAATCTTTATCTGCTACATTTTTTAAATTATTTTCTTTCAAATCTTTTAAAAAACTAGCTTATCAAGCAGAATAACAATTTATACAACTTAATAATACTATTATGATTTTAAGTATAAAACTTCTTTCTTTTATACTTTTTTTTAACAATTTTTTAAGCAAGCTGCTACAAATGATAATATAACTGTCACAGCTTATTCTGGACTACTATATACTTTTTGGCTTTTACTAATAGTCTTTACTTGCTTGGTTAATATATCTGAAGACTGTGTATTGTACAGGTTCTTTCACTAATTATAACATGCTTACACAGTTAATAGTTTATTCACTAAGAACAAAAGTTATTACAAGTACAAAACTTAGACTTTCTCCAATTTGGATCGATGCCTTATTTATTAATTACTAATTGCTAATGATTACTAAATTGTTTATGCAATCACTAATTTAACTTTTAATTGATTCTATACAAACCCAAATCATGCTATTTATACAAATTTGAATTATGACCAGATAATAATCTCTGACTCTTGCACTATAAATATCCAGGGCAACAACATGACAATAACCAATTTTAATTTCAAAAATTTATTATAATATACTTTTTTAATTTCTACATAAATATAAGAGCTATAGACATGAAATTTAAGTATTATGTGTATTTTTATATTTCAGACAAGTTTACTTAGAAAGTAAAGTTAGGTTAGCATAATAAATTTTGCGTAAACGGACGTTTTTTGTTGGACGAATTTAAGTAAATTTTGTGTTAGAGATTTGCAAGACAGGTATTATAAGTTTTATCTTGTAGTAATATATTAAATATATGTATATTAAATAAAAAATAATTATTAAAAAATTTTTTTTGTATTTAAAATAAATGTTTATTAAATTATAAATAATAAATCTTTTAACAAAAATTTTAATAGTTTTTTTTAAAAACAAATCTGTTTAATAAAAATAATTTGCTATTTATTAATAATAATTTAATTTATAATTCACTTGCTAAGTTATTATAAAAAAAAGCTATAAAAACTAGTATACTTAGTATCACAGTGTTTTTAATACTCTATATACTTGTAGCAATACCCATGTGATTATCAATCGAGTATATTGATTAAATATTGTAATCAGAATATATATGAATATTATGATCCTGATTTAATTAAAAGTCTAAAACTAGAAATGCATAAATAATATAGTAATTAGCAATTAGAACAGTATTGATTGCTTGAACAATGTGTAATTAGCGATTAGTATAGTATTAACTGCTTAAACAATATGTAATTAGCAATTAGTAATGTAATTGATTATATAAACAATATAGTAATTAATAGAGAAAGTAATAATATATAAGGCTTTGATTCAAATAGGGAAGAAGCCTAGCTTTTAGCTTTCGCTTTGTAAATAAGCTTCGCTCTTAGTGAATAAACTATTGTATCTGTGTGAATACATTATAGATAGTAGTATTAGATATGATATTCAAGTTATCGCATAGTGAAGCCAAGCAAGTAAAGACCTATAGAAAAGTAAAGTAATATACATAGTGTTACTAAACTATGTGACACTTAGTATTCTTGTTAAATTTTTAAACAAAAAACTTAAATATTTTTGTCTTTATATTGAGAGTAGATTAATATTATAAAGGTTTGTATAGCCATGTTTAATTATTCAATCTATATATAGTATAAATCTCAAATATAATTTTTATACATAAAAATTTATTATTTTTAGACATAAGGCCACACAAACTTAATTAATTATTTCTTATAACCTGGCCAGGTCAAATTCAACAAAATTTTGGAAAAATTTTTTACTATATTTATTTAATCAGATAAACTTTTTTAAATTTTTGTAAAAAAATTTTATATGTTTTTTACATATAAAATTTTTTGAAAATAAAATTAAAAGCCAGGTTGCTGGGTCATTTTTAAAATTTTATTTTATGAGAACCAAAAAATTAATTTTATATAGTCTAATATAGATTATATATCAAAAATATTTGACATTATAGCAAATTTGCAAAACTAAGTAAATACTATTTAAATTTCTATCTAGTAAGTTTGGGCTGCAACTCTACAGCCCAAACATGCCAATAAAGAACACCACTATAATTAAATTAATACCTAAATTATTAGACTTTGATTAAGGCATGAAATAATTTGATCTGAGAATAGGCATCTAATGTCTATTTTTGCAATTACAGGCTAATAGTTAAGTAGTTGTATTTTTTAAGTGATTGAAATGTATCTTTTTTAATTTTTAATTTTAGTTTTACTAATATACTGCTTAATTTTTACTTTTTAGTATACTGAGATCTCAATTTATAATCAGTACTCTATTGTCATGTGATTATAGGTTATTATTTAGATAAAATATATAAATGAAGGCAATCATAATTTAGTTAATTTATTGTTAAAACATAGTAAAACATGGAGATATATTTACTAAGTAATTTTGTCTTTTTAGAATTTGGAGATTCTTAAAGAATAAATCATTATTTTACAAAGCATACCTTTCACCAACTTCTAACAAAAGTTATAGAGAAGAGAATTTTGAGTATAATAGTAGTTAAAACATTAAAAGCACATAGAGGATCATGAAATATGTTTATTTCAGTTTTCACAACTATATTTTTAGATTTTAAAAAAGCAAAAAACTATAGTAAAGTTTACTTACTTATATCTAATTCTTTTCTTGAAAATTATTACTATACAAAAATATCAAAAGTACAAAGTTATAAAAACAAGAAAAATTTAATACATAATTCTAGGATTCAATAAAAAATAATATAGATAACTTTTACTAAAAGTTAGAACTCTTAAGATGGCTACTTTATTTCACAAAATACTTTGGTCTTAATATATTTTTTTGTTACTAATTAAAAGGATTTTCTATCTACTTTATCTACCATATCTTCCTGATCTTTGATTTCTACTTTTTCTGTCATATCAACTATATTTGGGTCATATGACAGATTTTGCAGATTTAAAGAAAATGGTTAATTCTGAGCCATAATCTTTTTCTGTTACAGTCTACTGCAATAGCTTATAAGTTTTGCAACAAATTTTTTTTAATAAATTTTAATAGAATTATGACTGTAATTCCAACACAACCTAGCTAAATCTTAATTACATAATGTATATTACTGCAGTATAATTGCATTGTAAACTAAACTAATTCAACCTTAACCACATACTATCATGACAACAAGTTTCGCAGCAAAATTGTTTACAATAAATCATAAGATTGTATAAATATTGACAGCAAGTTTTATAACAAAATTTTTAAATAAAACATAATAGAATTTACAACTATAAATCAACTCAATTTTTAACCACTTACTGTGTATTACCATAATAGCTTGCAAATTTTTGTAATAAAAATTCTTTTATAATAAGTTATGTTATCAGGCAAACAGCACTATTAAGCTATTTTTAATTGCCTCAATATTATAAGTGCAAAATGACATCATCATAATTAATAAAATTTTTAATTAGTTGCTAATATGCAAATATGCTAATTTTATATTATTAATAATATTTCAAATACTAATATACTATGAAATATACAACATAATCACAATAATATGTAAAATACATTATTTAAAAATACAAATGATTATGCAATTTTGAAAATTGCCATGAAGAAATTTATTAAGTATTTCATTTCATTCTTGTGAATTTGTATTATTCATTTGATTAGGCTCAGTTACCGAAATGTTACCCGAAAATGATTCAGTAAGAATTTTTTGATAGCTGTTTTTAGGCAAAGTATCAGTTTGAGTAGCAAATTCTTGCTGGTTTGTAACTATATAAATAGAATTTTAATTAAAAGTAATTAATTATTAAAATCAATTATTTTTTAATATCTATATCTTGTTGTTGTTGTAATAAAGATTTTGCATTTACGAATGAATTCATAAGGGTAAGATTATGCATATTTGGATTATTTTTTTGATTATTAGCACTTTGATAAGATTCATTATGTTCTAAAAAGTACATATAAATTAATATAGTAATATATATTAAAATATTAACTAAGTAATTATAAATTTACCAGTTTCATTACAATCTGTTTGTCTAATTTTTATCGCATTTAAAAATTCTGAAATTCCTTGCTGTTGCATAATTGTATTTGGTCGCTCATAAGATGCAAGACCTTGTTGTGTTTTATGTCATGTTATAGACATTACAACTGTATCACTATAACCTAATTCTTTAAAAACTTGCACTGATGTTTTGCGTCCAGAATGAT